TACAGAAAATCAAAGGGAAAATCTGTTTCATAGCATATTTAATTGTTCGTTCAAATTAGTATCAGTCTATAGGCCACAAGAATAGAGTAAAAACGATGTTGATGGATAGAATTCAGTCAGCATTAACGGACTATACAAAAATCACAATGACTAATGCTCAGTGTTCAATTGGGTGTAAATATCTCAGTCTTACAAAAGGTCACTCAGGACACATATAACTCAGCGTTATTTTCTCAGACTAGAATGATACATCAGAGGTCATTAGTTAACTAAAGATGATATGTATAATTTACTGGGGAGCGCTAAATAGCATGAAACCTAGTTCTAGCAGATTTTCCTGTCGACTACCTCCAACTACACAACAGCTCAACATACTGAATGTGATATCTACTCACTTAAACTAGTTGTCACACTGCAACTTAATTTGTAAAATACATTCCCTACTAATAAACTTGAGAAACAAGATATTAGCAACTGCTGAATGACTGCAAAATTTTAAGATAAAGATGACTGAGAGAGTTTCACGTGAAATAATGATCAAAAGTATATTTCATTGTTTTTATTCTTAAAATAGTTGTCAAGTATTACAAATAAAAACAGCAAACATACTTCTCTATCATATATTTACATTGATCCTATTTTGAAAATGTATACCGTTAGAATGTAACAATAGGCTCCTTGAAAAAAATCATCACTTCCACTATTTTCTACACTTTTGACGACGGTATTGATTGATTTCCCTCTTCGTGGGAAGCTTCATTCCAGAGTTGAATATCGTTTGCAAAAAGTAGTCGAAAATCATGTCAGACGATGAATGAACACTAACTAATTTCCAATGAAACAAATTACTTTTAGAAGTACACTAACTAAATAATTCAGTATTGAAAAGTTAAAACAAAACGAACTTTAGTCAGACACATTATACACATAATGTTTGTTATCTATTCATATAATCACAAGTCAATAATTATCAACTAAATTATACATATATATATAACTAAGTGTATACATCTAACTATTAACTTCACAGGAACAAAGAATCATGTAAATGAATCAAATTATGTGTTAGCATAAAATACAAAGAGAGAAAAAAAGGAAAGATTTCCTAAATTAACGTTAATAATAATAATAATAATAATAACAACAGTAAGTATTCTGTTTTTTTTTCATCATCTTTGTTTGTCATAGAACTGTTTATGTATTATATTTTCTTTGTGTGCCTATCACTGCGCAGACACATAATTGGAATTTGAATGACTGTCATCAACCAACCGATCGAAGTATTAGTTTAACAGTTTGTCCTAATATTAGGCTATATATATATATGTATATATTTGTGCATAATATACAGGGCTATTCGAATTCGTCTATTTTGTTGAAATAATTTTCCAAGTACAAATCATTACTATATACAAGTAGTATAATTTGTCTGCAGCGAATAATTTTGTTTACGAATGAATGTAGCAAATTTTTACATGATGATGATGAAAGTGGTCTATGTGAGCTTGGGTTACGCAAAAGCGATATTTTTAAAATGAAGGGCGGTATCATGTTTTTAGAAGGTAATAAGTTTATGAAAAAAAAGAGCGGATTTCACTGAACTCCAATCGGGTGTTGAATAGTAGTCAGTACCACACTCCTTAATACACAGAGATATCAGACCATACTGATTAATGCTCACACTTTCAACTTCATAGGAATACACTTAGTCAGTATCTTTGAAGTAATATGGCAGTGATTTCGTGAAACATCCAAGACAACATTTGGTGAGTAAACAAGTAACTAAATAAAAGAGATTAGAATTTTTTGAAGATCATGACTTAAAAGCAAATATTTGGTGAAAAAAGTACTGAGTTCTTTATATTTATCTGCTAAATGAACAAATGGTGATTTGGGCGTTACAAGATCACGGACGTATAACCTCATTAGTCAGTATAATATCGTTTAGTTGAATGGTTTATGAAAACTAATCCAATGTGAGGATATTAATACTAGAATGAAGTGGCTGCCCAGTGAACATCTGGTTGTTAAATTCATTCATGCTTTTACGCTTAAACTAGCAGACGTTGTCTAACTCAAATAAATTGATCATAAGAATGAGTTGAACTGAAGATATATTGACAAAGCAAATATTAGAAGCAATGTTTAATTTGTCTTTAAATTGTAGATAGTATATATATATATATATATATATATATATATATATATATACCAGGACGAAATGGCCGTCAAGTGCTTCCAGGTTTCCAATGGTGGTCTAACAATGATTTCAAATGTGTAAAAACACTAATCTCCATAACTCAATTTGAAAATTACTAAACTATTTTGGTGTTTATGTGCAAGGTAAGATGAAATGAATCTAATTACCACTAGTAACATGTATATGGTAGAATCTAAAATTCTACATTTCACAATAAATAGACTGTTAAAGACTTTAGCATTGTGACAAAGCAGATATCTTATTATTTTGTTGTTTTAATAGTTTTCTAACTGATTTTGTTTTAGACAATGACTGAACATGTATTTATGAAAAAAAAAATTATTTTTGATTAACCGAACAGACAAATTAAAGATATTGATTTATTTGGACTTTTTTTTTGAAATGTTCAGAAATAGTAGTCTGTTCTGCATTGGTTCTCAAACACACATTCTCATTATTGTTAGTTGAAAAAATTAAGCGCCCACAATTTTTAACTTGTAGATATTTTTAAATTAACAGTAGACAGAAGGAGGATTATGGATAGCCTTACTAAGGTGGCAGTAATTATCCCGATATCTTAATTCAGCTCTTGTTATGCATCACTGCCTTTAACTAATTAAAAACCTACTCTTTTCATTGTATTACATGGAATGTTGACTTTTGAAACGTTAGTCAAATAACTGATATGTTTCGATGAAAAGATAGATACGAAACACATTTTAAAATCATTAAAATTAAGATACTGTATAACTTGTTGTTTTTCTAAAACAATTATAAATAGTGACAATTATACGTTTGTGATAACGTCTGTTTGTCAGATAATAATAATAATAATGACCTACATTCACATAGTTTCAATAGTTCTATCCTATAAACAATTTACGAATGGTACTTTTTATTTTACAACAATTAGTTAGATTTGTGTATTACATGTAAGCGAATTGTTTCATTCAAACTAGTTTAGTTGTATGATTCAGTGTTTTATAATTGTATACTATTGTCTGTCTAGCACTTTTGTTTTATTGCATTAATCTGAATCAACTGGCAGATAAATTGTCAGAAAAAAAGAAGATAAGTTTCACCAAAAGAAAAGCACTATGTTCTGAAGAATATGAACATGTAATTTGGAGATAATTTAATGTCATCAAACTAGATTCTTAAATAGTGTGCTATCTTAGGTATATACATTTAGAGATAAACTTTAACAATGACATATTTTCGATTCGAGTTATGGAGATTAGTGTTTTTTTACACGTTTGAAATCATCAGTCAATGATTGTTAGACTACCATTAGAAACCTGGAAGCACTGGACGACCGTTTCGTCCTGGTATGAGACTCATCAGCAGTGCACATCCCGACTCCTGCACCTCGCAGGATTCGAGCTCGGGACCTTCGGTATTGTGCGCGGACGCCTAGACGTTGGACCACTGAGCCGGCATCCAACGGTGTCAATGTCTAACTCTGATTGATCTAGGGATTTGGTGCGACCTCACCCATTTGTCTTCGGTAGTTACTGCCCTAACCGTTGAAAAAGTCATCCACATAAACTTTGTATTTTGGGGTTTACTTTTTTCGATAAATATTTGGATTTAGTTATTGTTATTAGATGTCAATAAATTTTGTTAGTGACCATTTTAATACCTAATTATAACATTTTGAGATAGTTGATCCTTTAACTGAATGTTTAAAATGTCTACATTCAAGTGGATGAAGTAACTGCACCGACCTGATCAGAAGATAATTTCTTTCACCAATGTTGGATAAACTAACACCATGTTAATAAACGTTGAATTTTCAAATAAATGGTTATTTAGGGAGAGGATTTTAAGGAATTCATCGCCACCGGTGCATAAATTTGCATTTATGTAACTAGAGAAGAAACTTGCTGTTGTCTTACAAATTGCTGATCCAATCTTACGCTACTTATAAGTAGCATAAGAAACGTTTATCAAATTAATCCAAAGGTTCTCATTATTTATGCCATAAAGAATCATCTATCTAAATATACCGAATAAGTCCACAATATTCTACACATTTACCACATCATGTTAACTAGCATCTAGAAAAAGTTCAAATATTAGAAAATTATCAGCTTTCTGCAAAATACAAAGTTTCAACATTCAAATGGATGTTTCTAACAACAAAAGCCACCATAAAAGTGTGAAAAATGATCAATTTTACGAAATAGTACTAAGGTCAAAGACTAACTTTTTAAAAAAATATGAATATATATATATATATATATTTCATTTTTCCAGACAAATAACAATCTTTTTTTAAGTCAACATAAGTCTAAATAATATATGTTTACATGATCAAACTTGTTTGTTTGTATTGACTATTTGTTTCACTTTTTTGTGCTATTATCTGATACTATTGCTAATGGTACCACTTATATATTACTTACTGAACAGTGTCCTACAGAATTCTCTCCAAGAGAAGCATTTTTGATGTTTCTCCCATATATGTTTGTTAATTTTTTAATATGTCAACTTGTTGCCTTCCTTTTAAGCGCATTGACAACATACGTTAACGCGAGGCAGATCAGTCGAATTTTATCTCACCTATAAATCGTTTAGATAATATTTGGATTGTGAATCAGCTCATGTTTAAAAAAAGATAAATAATTGCCTGTGTTCAGTCAAAACAATAAAGGAGTAATTCTCAATTTCTGCCCAAATAATAGTACTTTAATACTATCAACCTGATCAACCAAACAAAAACCACAATTATTACTCTTGGGTAATGAATAGCTTCAGTAAAAACAATACAAAGATACCTAAGTAAAAAGATATATAATTTCACATAAATATATATATATATATATATATCAAAGAGAAAACTATACATGTTGACTAAAGAGAAAATGCCTATGAAGTATACAAACAAGAAATTCCAACAGTTTTGTTAAGATTTAAGTTTAGGGAAAAATTTCCAGCCTGAAGCACTTTCGACAATTTCAACAGGAATTCTAAAACTGTCCGCTTTAACGTGTTCAGGTAGACGAATATTAGGCATTACCCAAGCTACTTTATGCCATTCACCATTTGGTTTATTTTGAATAGCTGCCACTTTGAAGAAATGAGTTGGAACTGCAATATTATTTTTACCAATAACTTCATATGTGACAATTTTCTTACCATTTACATCCCTAAAATATTATTGAAAAATAATTCTCATTTTAAAAAAAATACCAATTAGAAATATGTATAAAATAGAGAAAATAGGAAATAATATTTACTGTGGTATTCGTAGAGTAGTGAGTTGATTTGTTTAATAATATTGTTGTACTGACAAACTAGCAATACTCAAGATAGAGACTCTTGAGCCTATTGTCAGCATTAACAGGTGTACCAATCACGCAAAAATTCATGTATAGTTTCTGATTTTTCGAGTTGATTTTAATAAACTAATTTCATTTATACCACTCTTACTTTGGTTGGCTAATAATTAGGTTAGTTTTAGAGTCGTCCAAGGTCCCCAGTGTAGTATTGCTTCATCACCTTATATGGCAATCAAAGTTAATTTAACCAATCGAATGATCGAATTCAACTCCATCAACTACTTCAGTTTAAGTAGTCAGGGTGTTATCATTCTTTATCACATGAAAGATACGGCTCAAAGTTGAATAGATGAACCTGTATTTTTGGCTAAAAACAAAGTAAATTTCGATTCCTAATCGAAAATAACCACGATTCAGTGGCCTGAATAACGAAGTGATTCAGCTGAAATATATTGGTTGTACCGCTTGTCCTTCTGCCTTCAGTAAACTGAAGATCAGTTGGTCTCAAATCTAGTTGAGCGTAAATAAAACACAATTAGAATTTCACAACCCCAAGATTGGATAAAATCAATCGATTATGTTAAGCTTATCTTTACGTATACTTAAGACGAAGTACATATGTTTATAAATAGATACGAACAACATAACATCATTTTTATTATGAAAAGTAAATTGAGTAATCAGATCTTAAGAAAATAGATTTAAATTACTTACTGAGGGAGAAATAATGGCCCTGTAATAACAATCATATTATGTGATCTTCTTGCAATAGCACGTATATACTTTTCCAGGCTATTCCAACCATGCCTATTGAAACCACGCCCAACCTGAATTAAAAGAGAAACAGTACACAAATAAATATACATGGCATTTTTAAGAAACTTTGTAATATAATACTGGAAACATAAAATCAACTTGAAAATATCTAGGGTACCAGAAGACGACCAATGTTGTTTGTCAATAAAACTCCCATTCACTAGGATGTAAACGATGAATATCGTTTCTACATCAATGATTGATAAACATCTGTTGATGACAAATTATTTCAGTTTTGTGATTTACTCATATTTTTTATAGATATGCTTATTTATTTCTAAGCCTTGCATATTTCTCATTTATACAGCTTTCTTCAACTTCATGTGAAACACGTGTGTTTAGCTTAAGATAGAAACTTTTTCTGTAATAAGAAGATGGATGATAAATTACTAGGCGTTTATACAGCTTTTAAAATAACCAAGTTAAATTAAACTTCAATAATGAATACCTACTTGAGGTGCGATATTACTTAATATAAAAGTTTGTCCCATAGATGAGTGACTGAGGCGATGATTTCCTGCAGCAGCCAAATGACCACGATCATATCCTGAGTTCAAATAATCTTCATTAGTAGCACGAAACATTTCAATTTCACCAAGATCTTCATAGAAATTGAAATTCTCACTGTAATTTAAAAATAATGTTTAAGATTTTTAAAATAACTAAGTTAGTCCTTTTAATGTGAGATTTATCCAGAATTAGGAAAAAAACAAGTTCTTTACATGTCCATAAATCAAAATAAACCTAAACTTAACCAACTACTTATAAGTAGCTTATATTAAAAATGCAATAAAATATTTGTGTTTAAAAGATTTGATTCAGGTAAACAGAGTCGAAACAAATTTAATGTTATTAAGACAACGTTACCAAAATAAGATGAATTAATCCTTTTCAAATGAGTCTTTTTCATTTGATTTCAGACAAATTAAATCTATGAATCATTCACTGAATAAAAAAGGAAGAATTTTGAAGAGTTCAGTGAATATTTTTAAAAATAAAAACAAAATACAGTACCAAGTTAACGTTAAAGAGACTAATGTTTTTGATAAGGTAGCAGAAACTGACTAGTTATAAGACAAACTACGTAGATATGTTTATAGTTATGAAAACTAAAATAATAGAAATATGAATGAATTGCAAAAATACATTTTTCGAAAAGCACAAATGTTGTTGACACATATAGTTTGATATTTGCAGTTGTTTTCTTTGAAGCATACAATCCTAAGTAAATTGAATTATAGTACCATAGAAATATTTTGTGACTTTTCTCTGATATTCATCTATTAACAAATAGTTTACTTAAAATGTTGAAGAAATAGACCACTGAGACACTATCTGATTAGTGCTATAAAATTCTTTTTCCTTTTTAAGAATAATACTTGCTTACTGATATGCATGTAAATTCGTTATGATAGAAGCAGGTAAAAAGAGTGACAATCGCAGTGAGTTTAGACTGTATGATGGAACGTTTTATTTGATCTAATGAATAGAGCTTCTCAGTTGCATAAAATCTGAACATTGAAGATGTGCTGCTCTTCTCAAGGACGTTATCACCGGGAAAATTAGATAAGTTTTAGGAAGGTATCCTTCCTTTATGTATTGTTCCACAACATTCATAACCGCCTTTAGTAGATGTTAAATCTCGTGTATACGATATCTAGCGAACTTTGGTTCGGTCAGTAAGTTTACCAATTACCTGGTGAGGGATGTTAGATACTAATTTGACAAAAGCGATTAGAATTTTTATGATTTTTTTTGTTTTTCAAATTGGTAGATGGGAATATACATGTGTATATGGAGTGTGTAAGTGCTAAAAATGACTTAAACTAACGTTTGATATCTGCTTACTAAAGCTAGGGAACAAGAGAATTGTCTAAGAACTTTAACTCCATTTAGAATTTATTAAAAATAGCATTTTGAGAATTTTAAAGTATGCGGTCAAGCTTAAATCAAGCATTGTTCAGTTTGAATGTTCAGTAACTTTCCTGAATAGTTCAAGTGAACTTTTATAATAAACTTGCAAGTTCTTGATTATATTCATTTTTGATTAAGCATTTGATAAGCTCATTCATAGCCAGTTTTTTATGTCATCTTGTTTTGATTTACTGGTCTGTGGGACAAAAAGATAATGAGTACTATCAGATTTCTAAAATTTTTCTAAACTGTTGAATTCGTAATGAGTTACGTAGACCCCCATCATCAAATTCGAATTAACTAATTCGATTGTTATTCAATACAAAATGCAACAGTTAAGATAGTTCAGGTTTCTGTGCCAACAGTATAAAACTTATTGTAAAACATATTACCCTTTCGTATTTTAAAGTATTTTTCGAAACAAAGATGATTCTTTATGAAATGCAATACTCTTAGAGTCTTTTAGAAGGAGTTCATAAACAGAGATGGTGGAAAAAATTTGTAGCTCAGGTGGATGATTGTGGTGATGTTTCGTTCTCTGAGCTGGATCTTTTGGTTGTGGAGTTGCTGATGTTGTTCAGAAGAACAATGAAAGCTCTACAACCAAAACATCTAGCTAAGAGAATGAAACACCACCACAGTTCATAAACACTTATGATATGATGGCGAAATCAGTGATTATTGGTTGCATTGTACTATTCATTTTTATTCTCATTTGATCATTTGTTAAACGACAGGTTCAACATACGGTTTCTAATAACAAACACAAGCAATTAAAATTTTGTTTAATGATAGAAATGTAAAGTTGTTCAAGTATGACGAAGAATAGTAGTCCATATTTAGTGCTAAAAGAGTACAATCATACCAAATTAATGAAACGATAAAAACTGAAAGTTCACAAGCTACACTAGCTTCTACTAGTATAGTGTCTTATGAGCTGAATGGCATAATGACGAAGTCTTCACCGTCATCCTGGATATCATGAGTACCTATTTCACGTACCACAAATATCAGCTCACTCCGGTCTAATGAATATACAGTTGGATAGTTATTTTCGTAGATTTAGTTATCTTCAATTGGCTTGAGTTTCTTGTTCATGTGAACACTGATCATGTGACTAGTTTTTGGTCTACTTACAGTTAATAATATAACCCTTCTTATGAAATTTATTAGCAAAAAATATGGATTTGTCAACTGGTTGAAAAAAATCAGTTTCTGCTCTAATTCTAAGTGATAATGATATCATCTTCATACCCTGATTTACAGACTACTGTAATACAAATTTACGGATTTATAACTGGAGAACTTTAAGATGAAGTTGTTAGGAACAATTTTTGTCCAAATATTGTTTTCTGTGGATAGCTGCTATACGAGCTATTTAAATAACTAGTGATTTCACTTTTAGGAGATACAACTATATGAACACTTGATAGACATGATGTTGAGAAAGAGTAAAGTACAATTTTTATTCAAAACAAATTGATCGTCCATAGTTCCCGTATCGAAGCGTAAGAATTTCATCTGAATCTCGGTAAAAACTAACTGCTAATCAGAATTTCTTTTTGATTTTAATTGACTTTGAACTCTAGTTCAGTTTTAGCGTTCTAGTTTCGTTTTTTACCGGAGTATTATTTTCAGCACAATATGTATCTCTATCAACTTTTTGAGAGGGAAATTATAATTTCAGAATGTCTGTCAACGACAATAAACACCAGAAACTCTTGTAATTCGTTTTTAGATATCTTTCATTTTGTATTGTGTTGTCACTTAAGCATATTTTTACTAAGATATCTTAGGTTATAAATAAAGATAGGTGGAGTTAGTTAAGAGCTGGCTGACATTAAAGTATTTGTTAAACTAAATTAGACGAAATTGTGTTGTGCTCCTTAATATATTTGTAGACAAATCGCCTTAAACCTATGAAGATTTCAGTGAATAGATTAAATAAAGATACTTTTGGTCTGAAATATCATTCTAGGTGTTGATGAGATAAAAACATACCGCTGCACTTCAGCCTCATCAATATCATCTTGATTTAGTTTGGAAGGGTTTAAATGTTCGATTACCCAATATGGAATTCTGTTGCGACGATCATAAGCACATATGTAGCCTTCAAAAATACGGAGATGGCTTGATAATGGCATTCCCAAGGTATGAATGGCTTCATTGTTTATTGGGAGCTTTGGAACGTCGACAAAAGTAGGGTAAATGACTTCGGCTGCATTTACAGGCTGTGGGAATGAAATATTTGGAATTTTCAATTCCTGAATAAAGTAGGCAAATGTTGCACCAACTGTTGTGTACACGCCAGCCTTGAAGATCTCATATTTTCTCCAGCACCGATATATACAAGAGAAGACAGATTTCATCCGAGTGTTGAACTACTATTTCATAAAAAAAAAATTGCTATTATTTAAAAATGAATTAACATTGTTGGCATAAATAATACAGACAAATACTACAATCCAAGGTACAGATTATATGGTTCTCACCTTTAAAACATACCATTATATGACAGCTTTAGAGGCATACTTGTCAAGTGGTGATCAAATTAATATTTCGACTTTAAGAAATTAATTGCATCCACTTAATTATGATTTTTACCCGCTAAAACATACAAATGGTGATTAGATTACAGATGTATTTACTGAACAAGACCACTTAATTGTAGAGACATCAAAGTCTATAGTAATTACTGAAAATACAGTATACTAACAATTAGACTTTAAGACACCTAAAAAGCCACAATTCAATAGAAGTGTTCTTGTTACTTTCTCTTAAACTATGTTCAGCATTGACTTCAAAGTTCGCCACAAGCAAATAACTTTCGGTATGATCAGTATATCCACCGGATACATGGGCATGAAGCGAAAAATGTGAGTCGGTGACGCTATCCGCTCGGTCAACCTGAAATAAGCGTAATGGGTTTAGAACCTGGAAATTAGTGCTTGTAAACCATAAGTCCCAACTATTAAGCCCTCATGGTAGTATAAACGTCATACATTAAGCTACTGGTTAGATTTGATGAGTTAATAGGTAGGTCAAACCAATCCCGATTTCCCTGGTGAAAAGGCAGATGTTAGAACTTGGTAACACATACATATAGTTAAAGCTGATTTTAATGTCCTTAGCACTATGGTAACGGAAAAAAAACTACCAGAGTATTTGCATAACAGGAGTTTAGTTCTCAAAACAGCAGCCATAGTATACTTTGTCTTATAATTCTATCCACAATGAGCATGACTGTAAGCTCTCATGGCACGTCAGGTTTTACAGTGCACCCAGTTTAACTGGAAAGAACTAAGTTGGAAATTTCAAGAAGTGATTTTGATATCCACTTATTATTTATTGCTGATGGATTTAGTCTTTCCTAGGAATAACATTATTTATTTAAATACACAAACATTCATATAAAGGGGCACTTAATTATTTATGCACCACACTATTGAATATGCAAGTGAGCCGAGACATCGCCCTGATGCTCAAGACGAAGCAGATGGTTTTCTTAGCATGCCACACCACGAACCTTTGGCCCAAAAACCCAATGGAGCAACATAAGCAGATACAGTCTCACGGTAACCGATGGCCAACAATAAGTACGTACACTATTCGTTTCATCAAGATCCTGGAGTTCATGTGCACCATTGGCTTGGAGCCAGGATTCCCCAACCCTCCTGGGTAGATCCCCTGTACTCATCAATCCGTTAAACACTCGATTCTCCTCCTGTGAAATTCTTAAACACTCGGCCATGAGGAAGCAGTGGCTATATACACATTACCATATGAAATCATTCCGAGATACAGGGCTGAGACCCAGAGCATTCGGGGCCGGAATAACGGGACAGTATGTACATTCACACTAACCATAGCATACCTTTATTATAAGCTCAACTCTATAAACTAGAAAGGATAACGTAAGATGATCCATCATTTGGTACCTAAATGCATATACCTTTGAAACGTCTATCAGTACTAAGACTATTTGAATTACTCACGTAACGGTTACTTTACGATCGTTCATAAATACTACCAATCGGATTCTGACCTAGTTAACAAACGTGAACTATCAACAGAAAGCCAGTCAATGGAACATTATTTAACATAATACAATGTGTCTCGGAGGGGAACGACTACAAAGTATATAACAGCCGCTTGCTTGTGGTACTACAGAAATTGATCTAAGAAACATCAATCTTACACTTCGCTCATCAGTTGACATGTTACGAACTAATGCAGATGACTATGTCAAAGTGGATACGGTACTGGGTGATTGACAGAAAGATGTAGGTTTCTTAATATCGACGGGATCAGTACTTTACTTGAGAAATTCAAACATACTGAAAAAAAAATCTCAAAGAAAAACATAATTTATTTGAATGACTTTAAAACAAAGTCAAACAGCCTGTACATAAGAGTTTGTATTGATAACAAGCTAATTTGTAGGTTTAAATACAAAAGATTAGAAACATTTTTGAGGGTAGGATGAATATATATATATTAGTGGAGTTGCGTCCGTTCTTCATGAAGCTTGACCATCCGATCCAAAAGACTCATACTCTTTGCGTTGCTAAGTGGGAAGGAAGATTTGGAAACTGATTTAGAAGTTGAAACAGCATCGCTTTGGTTGAGCAACCGTTGGGCGACATGTTCACTGTAACTCAGAGTAGATGGTTTAGATGACCGAGAAGAGATTGAAATTCCGCTGTCGCTACTTCGATTAAGCTTTCCAAACATGTGGGGGTTATGTGTAGTTTGGAATTGTGAACGTTTTGAATAAGACAAATCTTCGCTGATAACTAGTAGATACAAAATAAGAAGGTAATAGACGGTGACGATAAAGTAATTAGATTATATCATGCACATTTCAAAGGTATAACAAAGCGAATTCTATAAAGTAAACAAATGGAAACAGAAAGCGGTCGGTTTGGATTTCGATAATAAGGCAAACAATGAGGGCTTACTAATATATGTCCCGAGAGCAAATGATAACAAATTTCTAGGTAAGAGGATTCACACTTAAATGCAATCGTATTTAATCATCTTAAATTAACAGTCATTCAGTTACAACGAAGAACTCCGTAAGTGCATACATAAGTTCAGATCGCCATACCACATCAGTAAAGAGATGCAACTGTTGATTCAAATCCCAAAGTAGTAGAGTTAATGGGAGTATTAGCAGTAATCGGAGAGATTAGGGTTCGAAGATACTATTCAAGAAGTATAATTCAGTGAGATGAATTTAGAAAGAGAAAGATATAGACGATGAGGAATTCAGAAGATTAGAATTTCGAAGAACACAAAGAGTGGATGAACTTGCTCGATTGCAAATGATTTTGAGCCATGTCGTTCAAGGTCTCCAACCATCGGTTACTACCGTCTTGCAGACCCCAACCAGGTAGTCTACACTTACCGACATGACTCAATCCAGTTGTCAGTGGCTTCATGGATTTCTTCCGAAATGTATATTTTTGGAATGTATGACTATTTTCCCGCACACGAATATGCTAAACAATAATCCTTTCGGCATATAGCCTAACTAGAACAGCACGTAGTCTAGCTGACGCTCTAACGTTTGTACCTATGTACCTTCTGATTAGAATGGGAGCATTATAGCAACGAGAACTAGTCCGGTTTAATATTGGGAGGTCGTATTGCCTACGGTTTTACTTTAGAACTATAGCAAATTGGGGGCTCAACACCAACCCCCTAACTTGATGACTCCGTTCAGCTCCATCATTCAAAAGTACTTTTAAGTAGTACTTTGTCACTGAAATTCCTAAATGAACTCACAAAATCGTCATCATAAAATTGACATATCACTTAGACAGGCGGTCTTCTTATTAGCGGTGACGGAACGTGACAATAAAAGTCAGTTTGAGCTATATAATGAGTTAAGGGTTCCAAAATATTTGGAAACTCCGCCCGGAGCCCTTCTGGGGTCACTTCCGGTCCCAACCCCAGATAAAGGAGGGTTGGGCATGAGGTTTGCGACTCTATTCCGTAGAAAACGAACTCACTAAAAAAGTGTTAACCAGAAAAAATAATTAGAACTATTTTAACTCTGCTCTGGAATTTAGAGGCTCTTCATTCAGAAAAGTTATGACGTCTCACGATGAAAGCCGAGTTCCTTCGGAAGTCATGAGACTGATGCCCCTTCTGACAGCCAGAGCAACCATTGTTTTAGGTACATGGAATGTTTGAACAATGTGGCAGACTGTCCTAAATTGCTGCAAAAATGGAAAGATACAACCTGGAGGTGCTTGGAATTAGTGATACACATTGGACACAGGTTGGACAATTAAGACTGGCTTCAGAAGAGCTGCTGTTTTACTCCAACCATGAATAAGAAAAGGCCTCACACATGGAGTTGCACTGATGCTGTCCAAACAAGCACAAAAGGCACTGATAGCATGGGTATCTCAAGGGCCCAGGATCATCAAGGCATCATTCAAGACGAAAAAAAGCATTGTAATGAACGTCATCCAATGCTATGCACCTACAAGCGACTACAATGAAGACATTAAAGATCTATTCTACGAAAGGCTGCAATCAATCGTCAACAGATGATCATCAAGGGATTTGACCATTCTGATGAGAGACCTAAATGCCAAGGTTGGCATGGACAACACTGGATATGAAGACATCATGGGACAACATGGACTGGGAGAAAGGAACGAAAACGGTGAGAGATTTGCAAACCTGTGTACCTTCAACAAACTGGTCATTGGCGGCACAATATTCCCACATAAACACAAAGTTGTTTACTTTAATAAGTATAATACAATAATATACTTTTTATATATAACTCTAAATACATACTCAATGAGCAGTAGACAACGGGGTGGACGACATCCCACAAGTTTAATACGCCCTTTTTCGGGATAACGACAAACTCAACGAATTCAAGATAGCCCTCAGCAATAGGTTCCAGGCTTTTCACAATCTACTACTCAATGGAAAGGAAACTACAATGGAGAACAACTGCAAAAGGGATCAAGAAGGCAATCACTTCAACGTGTCAGGAGGTTCTGGGCCACAAGAAGTACCACCACAGGGAATGAATCTCTGTTAGAAATGAAGAACAAGAAGGTGGAAATCAATATCAGCCGAACAACAGTAGAGAAAGCCAAGCCAGAACCAAAGAGGAAAGTGAAGAACATCAGAGCCCGAAAACATGTAGAAGATCTAGCAATGACGGCAAAAAAGGCTGCAAGAGAAGGAAACATGAGACAATTTTACGATGCAACAGAGAAGCTCGCTGGAAACCATCGCAAACCAGAATGACTAGTGAGAAGCAAGGAAGGCAAAGTAGTCAGCAACACTGAAGAACAGTGAAATAGGTGGGTAGAGCACTTTCATGAACTCTTGAATCGACCAGCCACACTGAACCCACTCAACATCGAACCAGCATGAACGGACCTCCCAATCGATGTTGGCGCACCTACAATCGAAGAAATCAGTACGGCCATCAGACAAAGCAGCGGGGCCAGAGAACATTCCAGCAGAGGCAATGAAAGCAGACGTGGCAGCAACTGCTAAAGAATTCCACATTCTCTTCAACAAGATTTGGGATGAAGAACAAGTACCAACAGACTGGAAAGAAGGATACCTCATAAAAACACCAGAGAAACGCGATCTCTGTGAAAAGTACACAGGCATCACTCTTCTCTCGATGCCAAGCAGTCTTCAACAGGATGTTGTTAAACAGAATGAAGGACTTCGTAGACGTCCAACTTCGAGATCAACAGGCTGGAATTCGTAAGGATCGATTATGTACTGACCGAATCGCAACATTACGGATCACTATGGAACTATCGATTGAAAGGAACTCACCACTATACATTTATTTATTACGAGAAATCCTTTGATAGTGTGGACAGGACAATACTGTGGAGGCTTCTTCTACACCGTCATCCCTGAGAAGATAAACAACACCATACGGATTGCTTATGATGGATTAGACTGCAAAGTCATGCACAGAGCAGGGCTGACTTACTCGTTCGAGGTGAAGACGGTGTCAAGCAAGGTTGCTTACTCTCAGCCTTTCTCTTTCTCCTGGTGATCGAGTGGGTTATGAAGACGTCAACATCTCTTCTCAGAGGGAGCACAGAATGAAGTGGACAGCCAGGATGCATCTGGGCGATCTAGACTTCCCGGAGGATCTGGCCTTTCTGTCGCACATGCAGCAAATATTGCAAGACAAGACGACCCGTGCAGCAGCAGCAGCAGGTATTAATATACACAAAGGGAAAAGCAAGATTCTCCGATACAACACAACATGCGCCAACTAAATCACGCTTGATGGAGATGCACTGGAGGACATAGGAACCTTTACATATCTGGGAAGCATCATTGACCATCAAGGTGGATCCGATGCAGATGTGAGGGCGTGTATCAGCAAAACAAGGGCTATATTTCTACAACTAAACAACATCGGAACTCAAAACAACTGTCAAAAAATACCGAAGTCAGAATTTTCAATACAAATGTCAAAACGGTTTTACTGTAAGAGATGGAAACTCAGGGAAATACCGAAACCATCATGCAGAAGATACAAGTATTTATTAACAGTTGTCTTTGAAAAATAGTTAGGAACCATTGGCCAGACATCATCAGTGACAATCGACTGTGGGAGAGAACAAACCAGATTCCGGCGGGGGAATAAATCAGAAAGAAGCATCAAAAAATAAGCCCTAGCTTGGAAACTTTAGGGACAAAGGAAAGGAGGAAGGCCAAGGAACATATTAAGCCGAGAAATGGAGACAGACATGAGAAGGATGAACAGGAACTAGACGGAATTGGGAAGGGAAACCCGGGACAGAGTAGGTTGGAGAATACTAGTCGGCGGCCCATGCTTCATTGAGGGTACCAGGCGTAAGTAAGATGTGTGGAGTAACTAATCGGACATTTGTAATGAGGTGGGCTGAAATCTGGAGTTCTATATTTGAACAATACGACTGTAGTTAGACTTCTTTCTGCTATGACTCATTAGTTAAAATCACGTTTAAAAGAAATGATCATTAGCAGGTAAACAAACAAGTTCGGAACCTAGCTGTCTGGTTAGGAAACTTTAGAAGATTGAAGACAATACCGAGGAATGTAAAGTGGTTTTCAGCAAAATAAGTATTTCTTTAGATCAAGAATTGCGGTAGGAATGGATAAGGGACGCTAATAGCGGTACACGGAACCTCGAAACATCACCTGGTGTAACTTGACTAAGTTAATGAATCAACTGAGCTGACAGTAACTTTTAGATTTTGTTGCGGAATCTTAGTGTCCTTGGCTTTCGGTTCGAATGAGCAATGAGTAATGAAAATCGTTTCAGACTGATGCAGATGCTTTAGTCGGTGAGGACAAATTCAATAGGACAAGGTGACACAAGTAACCGAATGGTCGTAAGATGCGGCAACTACGACTTACTGCCTATAAATACTGAGTAGGTAGTAACAAATCCTTACAAACTTAATATTTACAGCGTAAAAACAAACAAAGCAATTAAGGACAGATTCCCACTTACTTCTTTTCATGTCATCTGCCAAGTATCGCGGAAGCATATAATTGTTTTGAAACAGATTATCAACTGGAGAGCTGTCGCATACATCCGTTTGCATCATATCGAAATCAGAGGCAGAGCTTGTGGGCACACAATTATCAAAAGGGTGAGAAGTGTCAACACTTTTAGATGAATTTTCATCATCGCCATTCTTACCATCATCACCAAACAACTCGTCAAGAAAACCACGAACCGTTTGAGACTCTTCAGATGCATGATCATCTACACTTCTACTAACTAACGACTGTCAAAAAATAACTTTACCTTACGTGATAACTGCAGATCAGTGTACACTGAAAATGGGTATGAACACTTGTTTGAAGAGCAGATTCCATTTATTGAACCAGCAGACGACCTAACTTTTAATAAAGGGACTGAAAAGCCAGAACGTGAACATTCAGGACAAAAACCCTCCATCTCACGGGAAAAATTCTACATATACCGCGTGAGTTTCAATATTCAACATGGAATTAAGTGAAGTAAAGAAATAATTTTTTTCCAAGGACTTAACTTAGAATTTCATGATAAGCGACTTGATCGCTGCATTAGCTTTCAGATAAGAGCCATAACTATGGATATCAGATGTTCTAACGTTTGGAATGGAAACAACGATTATTACAATGTTACTACTGTTTGTTGTGATTCAGGTATAACATATCCAGTATCTAGTATCTTTTTCATCAGCTAGTATAAATCAGCTGGTTTATTTGAGCTCGATTTTTGTTATTTCGGCATGGTCCCGGGTATTTGGTGGTGTCCAGTGCAAAGTAGTTTGGCCGGTTGACTACACGAAATCTAGTAGGTCGGCAGTTCTTTATGAATTTGTATTCCTGCTGATTTGAGTGAGTGGGTTTGTCTCAGAGTAGTAGGGTTTCTAATTACTGACAGTTATTACGTTAACAGGTCGGAGATCAGTTACTTGCAATGTGGGGAATAATGAGAATATTTTAGTGTTAATGATACAAAGATTTCAGAAATAAGCAAATAAATAAATAAGTGGAGGAAATAATAAGTGAGATAGAATTAGTTACTAAACTGAGGAAATGACAAGTATAGCAACAAGCAAGTTTTGAGGGGGCTGTAGTCACTTCGACTGGGAGAGCACTCTAAGTTGGAACAACTCCTAATGAGAAAACGTTGACATATGCATGTGTGTTCACTTTTTGGTGTGTAATTTTTTCGAAGATTACCTGGAGGGGGGTGTGGTGATGTTTTGACAAGATGCCTTTGTCGGAATGTTTTGACGTACTTAGTGTGTTGTGTGCTATTATAAGATCACCTCTAATTTTCTTCAAACTCAGTGGATATGGTCTTAACTGTTGGAGTCTGCTTTCGTAAGGTTTATTCCTTAAGCCTGTCATCCATTTAGTTGCCCGTCTATGCGCTTGATCCTTGAGATTTATGTTTCTTCTAAGTAGACGGGGTGAGAAAACATTGTAAACACACCACATACAGTAGTTATTTACACACCCTGGCAAACGACGTTCTGTCACGATGTACTACGCATCTCTTCATAAAAACTAGTTGGTTTAGATTACACACTTCTCGACATACCACGTATCTTTCAAATACATCTACGAAATCCTTTATTCCTGACTTCTAGTTTGGATGGGTTTTGGATTCTTAACTACATAGGTGTCAAGGAAACAGGCAATTTAACAACCTGAATACCAGTAATATCTGTAGTGGTGAGCCCCATTTGATGTGGTGCACAAAAAGACAAACATTATGGATGCGTTTTACATACTGCCATGTCAGCATTAGATGCTAAAATTCTTTCTCATATTTTTATATTTCATTCTTACTGTGTCAGAACTCATATCCAGATTGCTTAAGATTAAAACTCTTACGCTCCCACGTATCAACCTCTGCCTTTGTTGCTCGATAATTTCGGGGTTCGATTGCAATATAATGATTTCCATAAGCACAGCTTCACAAACCCACTTGCACAAATATTGCTACTTGTGAGAGGGGCCATTCTTCAACGAGTTTCAAAAGAAAATGTTGTCCGAAAATTTTTCATTCAAGCCTGTACTAAAAGTGCAAGCTGTTCTAGTTTCACCCCAAAAGAAGGCTGCTAACGCTTGGCTTCTATCAATATTAAAGATCGTCGAGACCACTCGTATTCAAGGCTTGTTAATGAAAAACTAGGGTTAAAATCTCTGTAATACTAACTGTTATTTTCCATACTTCGTCAGCATCTCATGGATCCCAAACTTCACAGAAAAGACCGTTTCAAAAAACAAAGACTTCAAGATCATATGAATCGGTTAGTATGTTTTTCAAATTACTGACTTTTGGTCTGAGTGGATCAAGGTCTATTCTGTTGGGTCAAACTACGTCTTCTGTGTTGGGTTTGTAGTGGTGTGAGTCGAGGTTGACTATGAACACCACTACAAACCAATTACGTTTCCTCCACCAATCGTAAATCAGCGGCAGGGAAGAAGATATAATCCAGAAAATGGCGTATATTTTTTGGCGATTTCGTGGTACCGAAGGGATATCATGATCGTGCGAAGAATATGGGTGAAGTTATCACGAGCATTGTAACCACGATGGGGACAAAGCAACAGTAAAGTGAGCGTACAGGGTACGAATAAACAAGGAGTTCGGTAAAACGATCACTGGTAAGACTGGTCAAAATAATAAATATTTATGTTTAGTCAGTCGCGTTCTCTTCTTAATAGTGGAGTCACCACTATTTCAAAGAGCTTTTGAGTTACTTGTATGAAAGCGTATCAAGACACAAATTCTTTAAATGAATTAAATGGTTCTAAGTTAAGAAGAAAACAAATGTCGAAATTTTAGTGTATATCAAATGGTATAGACTGTTCTACAGAATCAGATGTTTCTCCTGTACAAAATAGCGTTCTAAGAAGCAAAAGGAACTGTTAACGAATGAGTGTTCGATACCTCCAAATTCACAAGAGTTTTCCTTCCAAGAGGAAGTCAAATAATGAATTTTTATATTAAACCAGTCGCATTCGCTCCATAAAAATGGATTCACTAAAGCAGCATCGCTAGAAAACGTTTTCACTTTTGATACATAGCCGCTTCGTACCGACTGTTGTTTTCGTGTGCTCGAAGAGCACTTTTAAGTTAGCGATGAAACAATTCAACTAAACCATTTGAAGCTGGGTGTTAAGCGGTAGTGTGTATGCTATCTAGTCAAGCGATCGATGCACGTGAGTATGTGATCATACACATTTGATGGTGGCAACGGTTCTACATTGTCTACATGAACGTGATCGAAGCGAACATCAGGCGTAGCGAATGTGCCAATCGGGGCAGCTACATGCCTGAGCACTTTTGATCGTCGACACTGTAAGCACTGCTTTATCCACATACGGGAATCTTTATTCATGGCCGGTCAGACGTATCATGCAGCGTTGAGACGTAATGTAGCTGCGATACCTGGATGAGACAATCCGCGAAGGGCAGAGAAGACGAGACGACGGTAAGCAGAGAGTACGATGGGTCAGGGGAAAACAGTAGAAGTATCACACAGGATAGTATCTGAGGCGGTAGCTAGTGGTACTTCCTGGCACTGAAGTGATGCAGATTATTGTGTTTCTGTACAGGAGGGATCATTCGCTTGAGCAGAGGCCATAGCAGGAAGATCATACACTGGTAAAATAACTTCATTCACTTGGATACGTGACAGGGCATCAGCAACATAGTTCGATGGCATAGTAGGCTGCTAGCATTTCTCGACCAAAAGCTCCGCATCTCGTCTCCATGGGAGTGAGACGTCGTGAGAAAATTATGAGAGGATGCCAGCTTCCGGAGATGTTTTGTCGCATAACGGCTCCTATAGCAAAATCTGATGTATCAACCGCTATACTAAGCGTGGCTGAAGGGTCAGAATGAGCGAGGAGCGTGTCCTGAGCTAAAGCATTTTCGGTCTCTGAAAATGCAGTACGCTCGGTACAGTTCACTTCTGATTTGCGTGGATTACCGCGAAGTAGGTCTGTTAGTGGTCGTAACTGTTCTGCCGCGTGTGGTAAAAGTTAACCGAACCGAGAAATGCCTTCCGTTCCTTGATTATGGACGGTACAGTGTGCTCCATTATTGCATGTACTCTGTACTCACAAGGTGAAATACCCTCTCGCTCAATGATATGACCTAAGAATTTTATTTCCGGTCTGCCAAGTTCAAATTCGCCCGGGTTTTTCGAATGAGGCGTGGAATATATTGTCACGCACATGAAATACAAATGCGTATTTGTATTTGTCTGGGCTCTAAAGCCCATGAATTTACTGTTCGATGAAGTATCGATTAGCTGTAGCCTACGTAAGTCGACTGGTAATTCATAGTGCTGTAAGAAATCGATACCGAGTATGGCTGTGGAAAAATCGGCAATGATGAGCGTCCACAGATACTGTCGTCGGTTGCTCAGGTTGACCATTAGTTGTCGTGTACCATAGGTAGGGATGACAGAGCCATTTGGAGCGCGTGGTCAAATCATCACAGGTTGAGACTTGCTGTTACCGGTCGGTGCGACAGAAACTTGGGCACCTATGTCAACGAGGTACCTAGCGTTGGTGCGGTAATCGTGCACGCAAAATTAGCGGCCAACATGATGTGAGGGGCCGGCGAGTACGGCCGCATTAACTCGCTGGTATGGGAGGTTTCCACCTTGTATGAGCAGGGGGCTTGACAGTGGTGTGTACCGGACCTGGCGATATGGTGGAACTAGTATAAACCCGTTCTCGCTTTCGAAGTCGATTTTTGGCGTGGCTTGGATGGTGCCCACCTGGCCGAGTACTTACAGCCTTAGGTGATCGTGATTTGGCTTACCGCGATTGGCTTGATTTGGTAGATTCAGCAGCAGTTGATGGGCGTCCAATGTCGTCGCTCATCGGTTGTAGCGAAATGAAGCTATATGAGGCCAATAACCACGTTGAATCCCGTCAGAGGCAGAAATCAGAAGACCAGTTGTGATTGGATTTAAGATATATTTGCTGGTAATCTTGTATCGAAGTGTTACCAAGATCGGGCCAAAGATACAAGCGAGACTACGAAGAGTACGTGAGCAAGTCCAAGGTCATGAAAAAGGGAAGATGTGTGCTTTGGGTACAATTAAACAGATAAGTACAGTAAAACGATCACTGGTACAAGGGGTTATAATATTGAGTGTTTATAATAAACCGATCTCGTTCTCTCCATAAAAGTGGGTTCACTACAAACTCGACAAACACCTACTAACCCATGGATTAAGACTTCCTTTTTGAACTAGCTGTTCCATGATAGATGTCTTATAACCTATTATCATCACTATTTTTATCGAACGCAGAAAGACCATAACTTATGGATGATCTTCAGATGGTGCGAAGTGACCTTGAGAAGACCAACCTACCTAAGGGGGTCGGCAAAACATTGTAAAGAATTAGGGTTTGGATTTAATGGCATAAATTATAATTTTGTCTTAAATATCATCAACTAATTCGTATTCCCCTCAT